TTTCCGATTGATAAGCACTATAACAATCACAGTTATAGCTTCCGAAGTTTATAGCACACTGACTATAGCAAACTAATAATATATACTACTTTTTTGGTATATACTACAATATTGGTTATATTTATAGGTGTGTGGAGGCATTCTAGAAATTTCACTTTTACATGACAGTACTGATGTTAATACAAGCGTTTACTTATATACACATATTGTCGGTTCTTACTCTCGAGAATCTTCTACAACTTTGAAGAATAGGCAGGAGTTTCGTAATACATATTTAACACTATAAGCTATGTATGTTTCTAAATATAAACTTAATCTAAACAAACGTTGATATTAAAGTAAATATATAATAATAATAAATCCAGTTACAGACAATCTGACTGAATCTTAAGCAGTGAGAAATAACTAGACTGGACACATATGATGTTAAGTAATATTTATTGTAACACAAAACAAAAAAAGAAAACAATGTGCATACTTGTGCAGACAAGTGGACCATCCCTTTTACTCATCAGTAGGCAACTTTCTTTCTGTCAAGACATCTGTTGAGCTAAACACTTAAGTAACCAGGTAAAACTGAAAGTATAGAGAAACTATACTATAACTATTTCAAGAAACCTCATACGTATGTTTTTGTGATAGTTTAACCACGTGATTGGTCCTTCTCTCATAGAATTCACTGGCTTTAATATACAGATGTTATCCACTCGACCAGAGAAGGATGTTGTAGCTGTTGACCCTTTAACAGATGCATGATATTACCACAACATCTTCTCAGTTAGAGTAGATATTATCTGTCATGGAGAACGAAGGCAGTTAGAACAAAACCATTTCAATGTTTTTTTGGACCACCTGTTCATGTTAAAACTGCATATAAGCAGGCTAAATGAAAAATGTTTAAAATTTCAAATTTATTAAAGATGGTAGAAAACATATGGTATGACCACATATCACAGTGGTACAGAATAAGTGGAATCTTGTTTTTATGTTTTGGTCAAAGGTTGTAGAACTTAGTATATTTTTCTCTTTAAAACAACTGGGGTAACTTAGTTGACTTAAAAACTTTAGTTATTTTATTATTAGGCTATTAGTCAGTAAGATATTTTATGAGATTTTGATTTTAATATTTATTTGTTTATCTACTCTATATATTTGTCATAAAATTCAAGTTATCACAAATTAGAATGATTGAGATTCGTGATTTGAAAGATTATAGTGTTCACATGTTAAAGAATTATATATTTTTATTTTCTATTATGCAGTCAGTCTTCGAATATTTTATGACAAATCAGATATCAAAATGTAATGTGTTATTTAAAATAATGTTTTAAGAAAGCTTATGGCTTAATGTTTTTTTGAGATAATATTTGTAACAACAAAATAATGTATAATAGTTGAAGATGTAACACTTTCAGTGATGGCAATTGTTACTTTGGATACACTTGAGTGAAAAATCTTCTATGATTTAAATAGGGAGCAACTCTGACAATGAACAGTTAGAAGTCGCATCACATTACAAACAAGGACCTCATGATCCAAAGGTACGTATAAAAGAAATATTAGACTCACACATTCCTCTGTATGTGAAATTCTATGCATTTCAATGAAGTGACAATGAGTCAGCCACTTTCAGTTAGGTTATTGTGTAAAAAAATCAGTAACATGAATTATAATCATATGCAAAATATTTTTTTGCTCAAAATGTTATAAACATCATGAGAGGTGCAGATAGTTTTATTGCTAGTACACCTATTTTTAAAATATAGTCATTACAAATATTTTTACTCTATCAGATTAGTATTATTAATTCAAGTATAACATTTGCAACATCAAGAAATTGTGAATTAGTTTTGAAACATTGATTCATTTATTTATATTGTTGTTAGTGTTTTTAATGATTTATTCAATTATAAGTTTGTTTGTTTTGAATCTCGCGCAAAGCTACACGAGGGCTATCTGCGCTAGTCATCCCTAATTTAGCAGTGTAAGACTAGAGGGAAGGCAGTTAGTCATCACCACCCATTGCCAACTCTTGGGCTTCTCTTTTACCAACGAATTGTGGGATACCCCGTCACATTATAACGAACACACGAATGAAAGGACGAGCATGTTTGGTGAAACGGGGATTCGATCCCGCAGATTGCCGGTTATTAGGTTGATAGTGTGTGTATTCTGAACCC